AAGCGGCCTCAGAGGACACGGTCGCATCATACATGCTTCAACAACATGGAGAACCTCAGCAGCACCCCACCATCCATCTTCATAGATTCACGCCCCCTCTAAGCCGAAAAAAAAAGAACCTTTATAGTGTCAGAAAAGTTCTTAGATGTTAAGTTTATACAATATTTTTACTGAAAAAAAAATACTTTTTACGTTTGGAAAAACTCACTGCTCATACTCAAAGCGGGAGAAGACTATTTGGGGCACAATAGAAAATTATATTTTTCTCCATGAAATGGGCAGTGTGTGCGGTATACTCGTGATTTAATCCAACTTCTGCCGGAACATTTTGGAATCCTCCGCGCCTCTCGCACACCATACGACCACAACACGGCGGGGTCAAGGCTGCTGGGTTAACAAAAGCGGATCTCCTCCTCAAGTTTTCGACCGCTATATATTAGTGTTGGATGAAGTAGGGGGAGGGGACGGTTATGGCATTTCCTCTTCTCCAGGACTAGAGACATGTGTGCCCCCCCCCCCCCCCCCCGATCCCTTACCCTCTAACCACCCCCAAGGCCCTTCCAGTTCCACCCCTTCAGAGGAAATGTGATCTTCTTCATCCTTGCGCTGGGCTTCCCGGGAGCGAGACCCGGGCGCTCCTTTGCTCAGCCTCATTCTATTCCGATGTAAGCGAGGCGGCGCCGCCCCTTGTGTGTCGCCGCGACCGAAAAACCAAATACTCTGACACATGAGTCACATTCCATCACATAATACTTTCGAGGCAGAGTGACATCCTCGGTGACAACTTTTCCTCTTGCTCCAATCTCCACGCCTGGAAAAGTAGCACAACCAAAAAACTGAGCTCTCGGACTAAGTACATTGTGCTTAATCTCTGATTTTTCTGTTTCATATTATGTTTTAGGGGGGAGGGGTGTACAGTTAAAATGCGGGTGCCAAATAGATTGACTGGTTGCATTATTATTGACCATATTTCCTTACAGTTAGTAGAGGAGTGAGTGAAGAACTTATTCAAGAGAGAAAAAAATATCAAGAATAATTAACCTTTGGGGTACAACAACAACAACGTTTCTGCCTCGCTACGTATTTCTTCCTTTCTTTCTTTTAACTCTCAGCAGTGCCTGCTAGGCTGCTCGCTGTCTCGCTCTCGCTAGAGGCTCCAGCTGCGCTGCCTCCGCCGCGCCTGGAGGACCGGCCACCCAAGTGGCACCTCCGCCCGCCGGGCAGGTGTCGCGTCGCGCGCCCGTCTCCCGGCGGCGCTTCTCCTCTCGAGCACTGCACCTGCTGGTCCCGAGGAGAGGAGGAGGGAGGGGGTGGGGGGAAGTACTCAAGTAAACATTTTTTTTTTCTTAATCGTTTTTGGTTCTTACAAAATAAAATATTTCTAAAATATCTCCGAAAATGAAATCTTCCCAAGAGATTTCAAAAGTAAGATTTTCGTGGCGTGTGTGTGTGCGTGATATTTTTTTCTAATCGCCTTGAACAAAATATTTCATTTTCATTAATTTCTTAATGTGGACCAAACAACACGACCCCCCCCCCCTTCCTCCTCTCGATTCCCATTCATTTTCGCTCCCGTTCTGGTCGCGGATCGCAGACACAGAAAATGATGATCCGCTCGGCTGCCTGATTATTGGCATAACTCGAATCTAACGAGAAAAAGTTTCCTTTATCTCGTCGGATGGTGCCAAGCAGCCTCACCCCCCCCCCCCTCACCCGGCTAATAACTGGCGCGTGTTGAACAAAAACGTCGTGTCAAAAATCGTATTTTAATGTCATGCGCGGATTTTCTCTTTACCATATCTCGGCTTGTGGAGTGAACGATTATTTCTCTCGCTCGGACGACTTACCCCGTCCCGTGACAGCTCCAAGATGTATTCCTTCTACAAAGTAGTGCCTGGACGAGAGGCTTTGTGCTGGTTTAGGGTTTCGCGTGACGGCCGCCGCCTCCGCCGGACTGCGGCTGGTACGAAGTGTCGGTCAAGTACAACAACTGCTGCTACCCCTAAGTCGCAAGGCGGCGAATTATTTAGGGAGACTCTGTCTAACTCACTCGCTCACTCACTCACTCAGTCCGGGCCTGAGTAGTTCCTCACGACAAAGTTCTATGGCTCCGTAAGTGTGGCGGACACAATGGAGGCAACAAGCCTGGTATGAAAGGCCTCTATCGCCGTAGTGGTGGTGGTGAGGGGGAGAAAAGGAGGAGGAGGAGGAGAGGGGTGGGGGGGGGTCATTTGGACTGGGCCATTCAGAACTTGCGGCCGCCCCTTTTGGCTGACGTTTATTAAGACGGAAGCTGCTTTGTACAATAAAAATACACTCCACTATTCTTATAGTGCGAGGAGGCTTATATATTACACACTCTTATTTACAACACTTGAGAACTATATCTTGTAAAGAAGAGACGGCTTTCTTTTTCAATTGGCCAGTCTGTCTGTCTGTCTGTCTGTCTGTCTGTCTGTCTGTCTGTCTGTCTGTCTGTGTGTCGGTAGAGTTGGAAGCCCTGGAAAGTTTCCAGAAAGTTTCTGGAAAATTTCTGGAAAAGACGGAAAATTTTCGGGATAAAATGAAAAATTTCCCAGCTTTTTGGAAAGTTTTCCGTTATTTTTCGTATATTTTCAGAAAATTTTCGGAAATTTCCAAACCTATGTGTCTGTCAGTCAGTCTGCTCAGGTGGGCGCGGCCCCGTTCATGAAGGTGGTGACCAGGGTGGTCCTGGTGGAGCGCTGGCTGCGCCGGCTACGCGTGGTGAGCCGGTGCACGGCCCTGCTCGCCCGGCGCGGAGGCGGCGCCGCCCCGCTGCTGGTGAGCAGACTGGCCGAGGAGCGCCGCCGCCGCCCGCCCCGCACCAGCCAGCCCAGGTAGCGCTGGAACTTCTTCCGGAACACGCCGCTCACGCAGTACAGCGCGATCGGGTTGGCGCACGAGTTGAGGAACTTGAGGCAGAACGCTGCGGCGGAAACGGAAAAGGATCAGTTCTGCCATAGGAGTTTAAAAGGAGACCCCATGATAAAATTTGTACCCCGAAGTTCCGTCCTGATCCTATTAACACCTCATAATATTTGGATCCCCCCATCGTCCACGTGGTTTCTGAGCGGCCGGCGGACGAAAAGGGGGTACAAATAGTATGGCCTATTGGGTCAAGGAGTTCCTGGGGATCTCGTGAAATTTGTACCCCGGGAGTACAAATATCATGAGGTCTCTATTGGCGCCAACGGTGACCCTGACCTTTTGATGACCCCTTCTCCATTTGTACCCCCTCCCCTACACCGCGGAGTATGTGCAGATACGATGACACGATATCTTGAGGTGGCCGCTGCAAAACCGCCGGAGGTGCTCACCGAAGATCCGGAAGTAGTGCCATTCGGGGCCGTACTCCTCGTTGACGTCGGTCGCCAGGCAGTGGTACCACAGCGCGTAGATGTGGTGCGGCGTGAAGCACACCCAGAACACCAGCACGAAGGCGAGCACCACCCGGGCCACCTTCCTGCGCGCCCGCACCTGCGGCCATCAAGTATTCAAGCCTGAAGTTTACGCGGGAGCCCGTGGGCGGACAGCGGCAATCCCCGGGTCGTCCGTTAGGGACGGCTCAGCCCGGGATAACAGATCGACCAGAAAGTACGTCCGTTACTCTCGGGAGTCGGACGCCTGCGATCCTCGGGGTAGGCAGCCCCGGAGTGCACGCACGCACTGCAGGCGAGATGTTGCCTACCCACGAGGCGCTATGAGAGCTCGCACAACGGACTGTCAAGTTCGCATCGGTGAATAATGACGGACGTACTTTCCGGATGATTCCTAATCCGCTAGGGTTATCCGCAAGGAGTACTTCCCTCAAAAAGGCCGTTTTCATCACCCTCAAAATAAAACAGAATATGAAAACAATAAGTAAAATATCAGCCAAATCACCTGACACATGCACACCTGAGATCCCGTCGCTTACCTGTCGATTGCGCGCTGGCCCGTGGCCCTCCTGCTCGCCGGGGAGGGTCTTGGCGCTGTGCAGCAGCCGTCGCGCCATGAGCGCGTAGAAGACGAAGATGATGAAGAAGGGCACGGCATAGTAGGCGATCGCGTGGGAGACGACCATGCCGCACGCCCACTCGGAGTAGAACGGCCAGCAGGCCACGTAGTCATCCCCGAACTGCGAAGTGCACGGGAAGGGAGTGAGCGTGTACGGAGGTCGAGGGGAGTGCATCCGGAGTGCACCCGGAGTGCATCCCAGAGTACACCCGGAGTACGCCGGGAGTACGCCCGGAGTGCACAGACCCTCACCGTCACGAGGTGCGCCATGACGAGGCGGGGCACGGCGAACGCCATGGACAGCGCCCAGATGGCCACGGAGCAGGCGGCCGTGAAGCGGACGCCGGGCGAGGCGCCGCCCGAGCGCGAGCGCATCGGGTCCACGACGGGGAAGTAGCGGGCGGCGGACAGCGCCGTGAGCGTGAACACGGACACGCCCACGGACAGGTCGATGACCGTCTCGGACAGCTTGCAGACGGCCAGGCCGAAGGGCCAGCTGGGCAGAGCGTAGATGATGCCGTTGAAGGGCACCGCCGTCAGGATGAGCAGCAGGTCGCCAAGTGCCAGGCTGCAAAACAAAAAAAAAAGTGAACTTTGCGCAACAGAGAAAGAGTTGAAGCCTTGAGGAAAAATCTCGATCCAGAAACAAAACGGCAAATATTTAATAGCGACATAAGAAAGCTATTTCTTTGAAAAATTCCGAGCTCCTACTCATGTTGTTGTTTTTGTTGTTGTTGTTTTTGTTTTATCGACCTACCTAAAGATGAAGATGTTGGGCTCGTTCCTCATCTTGCGGTCGCTGACGAACATGCAGATGAGCGTGCCGTTGCCGAGCACGCCCGTCACAAAGATGAGGCTGAAGAGGACGGGCACGAAGTACGTCTCGGGGCGCTCCGAGTACGGGATCTCGGCCTCGGCCAGGAGGCTGGCGTTGTGGATGCTGGCGTTGGCCGCCAGCAGCTCCTGCACCTCCATGAGCTCCATGGCGAGCGCGAGATCTGGTGAGGGAGACAGACGCTGGTGAAACTAGAGTTGAAAATTTCCGAAAATTTCTCAAATTTTCCTAAAAATTTTCCTAAAACTCCTCAAAAATTTCCAGAAAATAACGGACAATTTCCAAAATCTGGGAAAATTTTCCATTCTTTCTCCGGAAATATTCCATTTTTCCCTGAAATTTTCCGAAAACTTTCCAGGGCTTCCAAATCTATGTGAAATATAGTTATGAATTAATACACACATGCACGACAGAAATTGGACACTGGGCTCTTTGTTGGTGACTGTAAAGGGTGGGACAGGGAGAGTATTTTTTCGAGTCGTTTTCTCATCCGTACGCGCACGCGGGCAGTGCTCGCGGAAAGACCTTGGCGAAAGGGAGCAAGAGAAAGGAGAGGGCCGCGCACGACGTTTTTTACGACGAATTAATGACGTCATAAACAGATGCAACGGCTTCAAAATATTTACACGCCAACCGCCGTGCCGCCGGGCGGCTGCTGCTGCTGCTGCGCGCGGGGGAGCATCGGGAGGATGTGTAGGGAAGCTGGCTGCAAAAAGAGAAAAGAAAGAATGTGCGCGTGCCCTTGACCCAGCCGGCCTTCCGCCGACGGTGGTGGGCCAGGTGTCAGCGACCACGACACTTTGTGTTTTCTATAAAAGGTTTTACTACTAACTGGCCTGTCGCCCCCGATACTTTTTCGCACTGCAATTTATTTTTTGTTGACGAATTCGTTATACACGACAAATTTTACCACCACCACCACCATCACCACGTCTCCGGGAAAATCAGTAACAACGAAAAACAAAAGGTACGAAAAGTTACTCTTGTTTTGTTTTTTATCTCTGCCGGTCCTGCTGCTTCCACTTGACGATGCCGGCCATGCTACCTTGCAGTTGTGATATCCCCCGCCTCCACCCCTCTTTTTTCGCGTTTGAAAACTCAGGAGGAGGCGGCGGGCGGCGGGTCTTCATCAGAGACTTCGTCGCGCGAGCAGACTTCGCGACGCGGCGGCGGCACGAGAGGCACGCCAATGAAGCACCACCAGCACGCGAATGAAGCTCCAGCACGCGCCGGGATTAGCATAGAAATGAGGCTGGCAAAGTCTTTGCATGTTGCAAGGCAGGGGATGGGGGGGGGGCGGTCGTTAGCACGGACACTGCGGGGGCGGGGCGGGCGCGCTCTGTGTCTTGTTGTTTATTCTCAGCGGGGGTTATGATGACAAAGACAGATATATATCTAAAATAAGTCGGACATCGCACGACGACTGGGACTGGTGATAATTAAAACGTTCCATAATTGGAAATTTGAAATTTTCCCAAATTTTCCTGGAAATTTCCGAAAACTTTCCGAAAACACACGGAAAACAACGGAAAACTTTCCAAAATCTGGGAAATTTTTCAGTTTT